TAGGTGGTTATTTGGTGGGGTTGGTTGCTTAAGCGTGTTTTGATTGCTTTTGTTTCGCTCTTTTGTTGTTTTTTTTTAGTTTTCCCATTCACACATTACCAACGCATTTAAACTATTAAAAATGGCTATTTTTTCAAAATAAAAATAAAAAACAGAAAATTCAGTGGAACTGGCCACATTGATTTTCCTTCTGACGCTGTCATGTTAAATCAAGTGTGAAAATTCTCCATAACGTCAAATATGTGTCAAAAACGACTAAAATTAAATTACAATATTTTAAAATTCTGAGCATAATCTCCATTTATTTTTATTTAAAACTACTACTAAAATGGTTACTTCTTGATAAAAAAAAGAAAAATGCAAAAATCGTGTGTCGGGATAGTTCACCGGACCCGTTTTCTTTAAACGTTCCTGACTTTAAGAAACAATGGCTGCATGATAAGTTTAAATGGTCCTAAAAAGTCATTCTATTTAGTTAATGGAATTTATTTAAATTTACTGCCTACTTCCATTGCTTTTGGATGTAAATACAAAATATTATTACAAATTTTAGAAATTAAATGAGAATTTCACTCGAACCTCCAATATTTGCTTGATTTCTGTCACATAAATGACATTGATTGACAAACAAAACCAGAAAAACCAGCCTTCTCGCGCTGGTTAGTTTGGTGACAGTTATCACCGAATTTTTCAGGAACCGTGTTCAGTAATAAGAAAACTTTCAGGAAACCGATAGAAATGGAACATAAAACCATAACTAAGGTAAGCAACGGAATACACCCTTAGTAAGGTAAAATCGAAGAGCTTCAAACTTTCTGTATGACTATTTTTAATTTTTACGTACGTTATGTTTATTTATGTTGTTCTTTAAAATCAAAGAAGCGATTGCCGTGCATTACTAACATCTACAGATGCATGAGCAATACATTTATTTTTATAAGATTTTATTCAAAAAGCCTCTTTTATTTTTCTTTTAGAGGCTATCGTTTCTTTCATTATAATTTTCGCATTGTTAAAATCTACTTTGTGCGTGTCCCATGAATGTTGACAAATCTTAGATTTGTACAAGTCGTCCTTTCTTAAATAATCTTTATGTTCATCAATTCGAACATTTAAGGGTCTAGATGTGATTCACTTAAATTTCACATCTAACAGAGTATAAGTGTAAAAAAGGGCGTATAAAAAGGTTATATGATAGGGCAAAAATAATACGTTCAGACGACAATTCACTAAACAGAGTTATAAACCACATAAAAAATACATTAATAAAAAAATACTTTCCACCATCTTTTATTGGCAGAACATTAATGGAAATACAAACACCAAATCATAGACAGTATCACACAGCGATAACAATACACAATATATATACAACTTATAATTCCATACACACCAGGCGTTTCGGAAAAAATAAGAAGGATAGGAAAACAATATAACATACGAACATCTTTCAAAACACAAAATACACTTAAATCAATTTTAACACACATTAAACCAATGAACACTGGACAACAAACAAAAAATGTAATATACAAAATACCATATGAATGTGATAAATTTTATATTGGTGAAACATCTAGACCCTTAAACGTTCGAATTAAAGAACATAAAGATTATTTAAGAAAGAGCAATATTCACAAATCTAAGATTTGTTAGAATTCATGGGACACAAGGCACAAAGTCGATTTTAACAACGCAAAAATTATAATGAAAGAAGTGATAAAATAAGAAAAAAAAGCCAAGCGATTAAAAAAATAATTTGCAAAAAAGCCAACATAAAAGAAAAACAAAAGAGGCTTTTTTAATACAATCTAATAAAAATAAATGTATTGCTCATGCATCTGTAGATGTTAGTAATGTATGGCAATCGCTTTTTTGATTTTAAAGAACATAACATAAATAAACATAACATACGTAAAAATTAAAAATAATCATACAGAAAGTTTGGGGCTTTTTGGTTTTACCTTATTAAGTAATTGTTATCTGGTAGTAATTGTTAATTTTGAAGTTTAACTTGATATAATGTCATTTTAACAGAACGTCAATGGTTTTTTTGTGGACGTATCTGTTTTTAAAAACTAAAGAGTTCTCGAATAGTTGAATTTAAATACATATTTTAAATAGTTTTTTTCTTTATTCTTTGTATTTTTTTTGCTTCCGACGACGGAAAGAGATAAACTTTCCGAAACCTTAAACATTTTTTTGTTCGTTAGGCAAATTTGTATATCTGTAAACCTATCTTCTGACAAGTAGTTTCCGTTTGGATTAACGCAGAAGTGTTAAAAAAATAACTATTTTATTTTGTAGATTTTCTTGCAGTAGCGAAATACCCATATAGGATTTTTTGGAGAGATGAATCCGCCACATAGAAACAGACATTTTTTAATATAGTTAATGTATAAGTATACTAGCGTGTACCCGCGACTTCGTTCGCGTCGAATTAATCATTTGTAATGGTGATGATAAAGCAAAGCAAGAATTTCCATTAACATACAAACTGGATAAAATTTTCTCACATTTATGTCAGCATGAGAAAGAACAATATGACGATATTATTATATAACTTGGTAATATTTAAGGGGTAGTTTCATCTCGTTGGAATTTGACTTACGAAAAATCCGTTTGCCAAAAATAAGCTTTTTACGTCAAGCAGTGTCGTGGTTAATCAATTATCCAACTTTTTGGAACACCCTGTATGATTTTTTAAATAATTTAAAAATATGTAAAAAAAACAAAATAAATTATGCGTGTCCAAGCGTTTTCCCGAAAGACTAACCGTTTTTTAAGTAACAAATATTGTAATATTTGAGGGGCGATTTCACCCTCTTGGAATTTGAGATTCGAGAAACCCCTCCTTATCGAACCTCTACACCCCACAGTCAATCCGTTTGCCAAAAATCAGCTTTAAACGTCCAGCAGTTTAAGCAGAATCGTGATTACTCAACGGTCATATTTTATGAAACACCCTGTATACATTATTAAAAAATCTTAAAATATGTAAAAAAAGAAAATAAAATATACGCGTTTAAGCGTTTTTTCGGAAACTTGACCGTTTTTTAAATAAAAAATATTGCAATATTCCACTCCCCTTTTTACCCCCTTAGGGGATGAATTTAAAAAAATCCTTTCTTATCCCACGTAAACATCATAAAAGGAACCCCTGTGCAAAATTTCAGCTTTCTAGGGTCAAGGGTTTGGTCCTGGGCGTTGATGAGTCAGTGATGAATCAGTCAGGACTTAGAGATTTATACAGGCCCGGCAATGGATCTCTAGGCATAGGAATTACATGCATTGGAATGAAACGCCTATAAAAAGTCTATGCTTAAACAGAGATGGACTACAACTTCCCCGTTTCCACTTCCACTACGACTGTCTACTTAGACAAACTCCAATAAGATAACAAATTTTGGAAATTCCGCCACCTCCCATCCACTCATGATACCCATCTCCCTGCCCTTTATTTATCGCCATTATTTTATTTCCCTTCCCGCGCCTCCGCACCTCGCTATTCCAACTCCCGTCAGTTCATCACAGAGTTGCCAGATCTACCGGTTTCGTCTGTAAGCTACCGATCTACCGATTTAAAGAAAAATCTAACGATATATTCAACTGCGTCTTTAGTTATTACAATAGAAGCACTTTTAAAAAGCTGACTTATTTGACTAAAAATTAAGCGACTGCCGCGTTGGAATCTGTATAATCTGACTTTATTATTGTTTCATTAAATTTTATTTAGTAATAACACACATACAGGTCATCGTTCTGTCTAGTTGCAGAGTTACAGAGATATTCCTAAAAATCCTTATTACTCCTTATTAGGCGCGGTATTGGCGACATGCCCGAAGAAGTTGATATCTTTTGAAAAGATTTTATTTCATTCATCTACTAAAGTTGAACCCATATTTTCCCCCAAAAAATGTAAACAAAAAACAAAATTTAAGTTAAGAAACAACCTAAATTCGGACAAATATTTTAGTGATTTTCCCGTCAAAAAAATATATTAATATGAAAAAAGAGTTGAGAGTTGCTACAGCTTTCCCATTGAAATGAAATTAATTTTAGATATCACTGATCAAAATTTGTACAAAGGTAAAAAGTGACTGCTATCCCTACGTATTATAGTTTTATATGTTTTTATTAATATATTAATATTATTTAATTCAATATTTTTTTTAATATCAAATAATATACCTAGCTATTTCTAATTCTTGTTATATTTATTATATTTGTATTTTATTTGAGTGATCTATTATTACGACACATAGGAATGCTAATTTTGGACTTAAATATTATATTTTATTTCGTTTCTGTACTTTTAATTTTTGTTGAAGATCTACCGAGAATTTTGTTCTCGTATGGAATTATAATCTAACAAACCCGGCAACCCTGTTCGTCTACTCCTTATAAAGTTTTTTTCGGCCTAATTCCTTTGTCACAGCCGCGGCTTTGTGAAGCGCCGCCGCCGACCGACTGTGTCGGGGCGACTGCTAGGAAGATCGTACAGTATTGCCATTTCATAGAATTGCACTTGCTATTTTAGAAATGATATCAAAGTTTTGCATGTTACTTTTCGTTTTAGAAAGAAGTTATGTGCCTAGAGAAAACATTCGTAAAATTGTTTCGTACTTTATTTAATATTTCATTAAGTAGGCAAGATAATGGGATTAGAAGATTTAGGATTTTGACAAGCCAACATAATTTCGATTTAATTGAATGGCAACACTGTCCGTCCTGTTTCTATTTTTTCGATTCTGTTCTATTAGTAGGCGGTAGCCCCCACACAAGCGTCTTAAAGACACGCCCGGCGCCCCCTCTCGCAGGGGCTCTCTCGTCGTATCACTTCTATGATCACTTCCCCTATACGATGGTAGGGAAAAGACACTTTATCCGTCTCTGTTGCACTGCAGTGTATTTTGCAGCCTTACCATCTTTTTTTATCGCATTGAAAACCTCCTATTGCTAATATTCCTTTGCCAGTAGTGTATATATAGATTACTTACCGAACGTTTTTCTTTGGGGATGTCTTGCTTCCCGACTCTCCCCCACTGTCGCCCTTTCCCCCACTACTACCGTCCAAACAACTGCTCCCCCCACCGATGGAACCGGATTTGGTGGTACTAGTTTGAGTCCGGTTCCGTTTTCTTCGACGTGTTTTTTTCCGCGTGTAAGATGATAAGAGTACGCCTTTCCTAGCATCGATCTTCTTGATCTTCTGCCTGGATAGGCGCTTGACGCTCAGCACTGATGGGTCGAAACTGAAGGTGGAGTCTTCTCTGTGATCCACCAGTTCTTTTTTTCTTTCCTGGAATAAAAATATACAAACTCACTGTAAAAGTGCGTTTACACTAGTCAACTAATCAAGTCATTTGAATTCATTTCAGATGAATATAATATGACCGTCTAAACTTGACAAATCATGTCAATTCATGGATCAAACAGGGTGTAGTTGGCCAGAAAATTCTGTGTTCTTTACTAATATTTATGAAAAACATAAGAGTATATGAAACAGGCAGTTATTGCACACATTAGTTAAAGAATATTAATTAAGATTAATCTCTAATTAAGATTAATTTCTATTAAGCGTTCCGCATTAATGTGACATTTTTTAATTCTGTGTGCAACTATTTCCAACAAAAAATTAATTTAAACTAAATTGGTTTGCATCCACCCTTAACATTTTTAGTAATCTCTAGGATCTCCTAACTGTACTTTAGATATTGAATTTATTAGATGCACGATAAGTAGATTTATAACTAATACATTTTCTGACTCGTATTCGTCATATACATCTAGTTTTTTACCTGTTTTTTTTTCGGAGGGGTAAAAAATCTTCAAAAGACCATACCGACCTGGTGTTCTGATAGCCGGCGTGTGTCGGATTCGAACAAGTCCGCCTACCGACTAAAAACTTCCCCTTGAAGCGAAGGCGCAGAAAAACGTACCGGAATCCGCTCTCGCATTTCTTCGATACGCCCCGCCTGTCTCTCCTCCACATTCCATATGTCCTATGGTGGAGTCACGCTATAGTTGAATTTCCAGTAATAACTTAACGTGTTTGACAACACAAAACAGAAATCAAAACACCAATTTGATAGTACATGTTCAACATAACGTAGCACGTATAAAATCCTATAGGTATATATTAAGGTATATCACAGATAGGGTAAGTATTCATCACAGATAAATAGTATATATCACAGATAGCCATCACAAGGAAATTAGAGCATATTCACTCTTGTCTTTTTTCCTTCTGTTCTATTATCTTTCTAATTGTATCATAGGCATGTTTCCAAGTTGTTTCGCATTCGATTAGACTCTCTATCATATTATTTGCGGTGAATACTTTTCCCGTCTTTATTGTATATACGTTTCGTTCTGTCGACCACCTTGGACAGTGAAACATGGTGTGTTCAATATCGTCCATTTCATTACAATAATTGCAGTTGCTACTAATACTCCTCTTCTTTTCAAAGAGGTATTTTTTAAAACAACCGTGTCCCGTCAATGCTTGTGTCAAAAAATAGTCTGGTTCCCCATAGGGTCTTTTTAACCATTTGTCGAAACCAGGGATGAGTTTATATGTCCATCGTCTATATTTTCCTGCACTCCATTTTTCTTGCCATCTCTCCAGTGATCTTTCACGTGCCTCAGTTCTACATAAGCCGTGGTATACCTCTGATCTTTCTTTAATTAAAATTTCTATTGGAGGAACTCCGGCTATAACACCAACTGCCTCTCTTGATACCGAACGATAGGATGAGGTAATCCTAATACAAGCCGATCTCTGAACTCTTGCAAGTCGTTTCATAAGCGTCTTATTGTTTGTTGCCGTCTGCCATGCTGGTGCAGCGTATAGAAGCTGGGAATGGATCACACTCATAAGTACACGTCTTTTTGATGCTCTGGGCCCACCTAGATTGGGCATGAGTCTAGCTAGCGCAGCTGCTGTTCTTTCTGCTTTTTCAATTGCCTTATTGATATGTACAGTAAACGTTAATTTAGAATCAAGCCATACACCAAGATATTTAACAGCATTTTGGGGTTCAATTTGTGTGCCTAATAAATTAAAATGGATTACGTCCATTTTTCTCTTTTTAGTTAATAATACTGCCTCAGTTTTATGGGGTGCCAGTTTTAAATGATTACTTTCCATCCAATTGGCAACTTTTTGAAGAGCAGCGTTTGCTAAATTCCTTAAAGTGGGCTCGTTTTTTGCCACAACAACCAATGCAACGTCATCTGCAAAACCTACTAGACTAGTTTCCCCAGGCATTTTGAGTTCTAATAAATCATCATACAATATATTCCATAAGGTAGGTCCCAGTATTGAACCCTGCGGAACCCCGCTTCTTATTTCTATTACCTTAACTGCGTCTGCCGTTTCTAATATTATGGATCTTTCAGAAAGATATGATGCCAAGATTTCTTGCAGGGGTTTAGAGAAGTTTCTTTTCCTTAGCGCGTTTAGGATAAGTTGCCATGACACGCTGTTAAAAGCGTTTTGTACGTCCAGAGTTATGACGGCACAAATTCTTCTGTTTTGCGGAGCAAAAGCGGCAGCTTCCCTGGCAATGCGAATTACTTCCCTTACGGCATCAGTTGTTTGCCGACCCTTCCTAAAACCAAACTGCCTGTTTGATAGTCCACCACTTCTTTCCATTTCTTTATTTAGCCTTCCCAGTATCAGATGCTCATACAATTTGCCTTCGACGTCCAGCAAACTGATGGGCCTGTATGAAGAAACACTGGTGTCTTGAGGATTTCCTTTTGGCAATAGTATTAACTTGGCCATTTTCCACTCTTTTGGAAATATTGAGGTAGCAGCAAGCTGGTTATAAACTGCCAAGACATATGATGGGGCCTTTTCCACGACAGCTTTAATTACCTCACCAGGAATATTCCTTGGACCCGGGGCTTTATTCATCTTAATTTGAATACAAGCTTCTCTTAATTCCTTTATACTAAAATTTAAAATCGTATCATCTATATCACAGTTGGGGTTAAATATCACAGTTTTGTGCGATGGAAACAAATGTTGAACCACTTTTTCCATAAAATCTATCGTCAACGTTTGTTTTAACAAGCCTTTTAAAGTTTTCATGACAATTTTATATCCTGCGCCAAAAATATCCCCGTCTAATTGATCACATAAGGTCTTCCAGCAATTCCTCTTTGCGCTTTTGATTTGATCTCTTAAGTGTTTCTTTGCTTTTTTATAGTCTTTTCAAAGTCTGTTTGTGTCCGTCACATTATTATAGGCTGCGCGTCTAGTAAACATTCTCCTTTTCGCTAGACAGTCCTTTCTGATATTCGCAATTTCGTTGTTCCACCAGTATACAGGAGCTCCTCTTTTACAAGCTTTTTATTTTTCTTTTTTATATCCATAAAAATGTTTGTTTCTACATCTTTCCGTTTTTGTATAATCAACCGAGGCGAATGAGGTGCGCCACCCTGTATATATGGATATACATTTTGATCTGACTAATATTGTGGATAGTTAATCTGCATCTAGATATTGTATCGAATTTTTAAGATATCTTTGGGTTTTATTCGTTGGTATATCTAAATGCATTTCCAGGACCGATAAGTGTAAAACAAAGTAAAGTGTAAGTAAAAATACCGGTCAACCACAAACATTATTTTTTAATAATATTATTAAAAAATAATTTAACTTAATAAACTCGAACATTGTTGGAAACTTACCTCTTGGGTAATTTCCGCTTCCTCTTCATAACTCAGCGCCACCACGGCCAGCATCAAATTAATAAGGTAAAATGACCCGAAAAACACCACCACCGTAAAAAAAGTTACACTAATTGGCCCACACGATGCCAAAACCTGCAAAACATTTATAAATCATTTATAAAGAAACTAAAAATCAAAATATGTCTTGCCATATTATACACGTTCTCCCAGTAGTCCAGCGTGATCAGCTGGAAGGTGGTCAGCATCGACCACAGGAAGTTGTCGAAGCTGGTGTAGCCGTGGTTGGGGTTTTCCCCCACGCACAGGCAGGTGTGGGTGGCGGGACAGTGCCTGGACCCCGTGACGTTGCCACAGAGCAGGGGCTCCTCGCTGGTGTTGTGCAGGAGCCAGTTGTCTGGATCCCTGGTCCAACTAGTTTTGAAAAACCGACATTGATTTAAATATTGCATCAAATAAAAATACATATTGTAATCGTAAAACATTTTCCGATGCACATCATCACTCATCTAAATAAAATTTTGGCAAATATGTTTAAATTTGTTGTATAATTTAAGATACCGACTAGCTCTTCATTTTACCCTTGTCAATATACAGGGTGTCCCAGGCTGAGCGTGCATTAGTAGTTTCTAGAAAAGCACAATATCTAGATCGGAGATTTTTTGCACATCATAGTTTTACAACGAGATCTATCGATTAAAAATATTTTCAATATGGCGGCATTTCCGGAAATACAAGAAGTTGACAGCAACTTTCTTATTTTAAATGGGTGCCTCCATTTTTTATTACATACTTAAATTCTGTGTAAAATTCTATGAATATTGATGTTAAACACTCTATAAAGTCTATAAAATGAATAACTTTGAATTTTGACCGTTATTTTTTACCAACATGGCAAATATAAAATCCCTCTGTCAAAAAAGTTACTGATATTCTTTAAACTGAGTGCCTGAACGAATCAGATAGGTAACTCTTTTTACTTTCGTGAAATAGAAAAGGAAAATAATAGAACAAGTGACAGTTCTTAATCTTCTTGCAAAAATCAACACAAAATGTCATAATTGCCAAAAGTAAAATATCATCAGCTTTTGATATTTCTAAATATCAGACCAATGCCGTCTCTAATAGAGCAGCCTCGGAGCGAGATTGATGACGTCACGCTAGTTAGATATACGGATTAATAAATATGTTGTATCTCATGATACATTGCTATTGCTACATGTTCATTCATAAACATTGTATTTTAAAAATGATATAGTTTGCATGAAATATACATAATATACAGTTAATAAATACAATACATATACCTATTTATAGTAATAAATACTTTGGCATATAAACTATGAACCACAGAAATGCAGCAAATGTTTTACAATATACAAATAATGAATAAGTACATCAGATAATGGATAAAATGTAAAATATATTTTAAATTTTGGGGTTTGAAAATCGATCTAATTTAACAAAAAACATTCAATATCTACTAATAGTTAGTGATATATTATTATTTGCATTCACAAAATTTATATGTATATATTTTGCAAGTATCAATGTTCGAATAATACGGGAAAAATGCTGATTAAGTTTTCATTTGGTTTTTCATTATTTTTATTTGGTTTAAAAAAAACGTTTCGGGTAACATTATAGCCTTCATCAGTGTTGTGTCATATCAAAAAAAGAGTGTCGAATATAATCCAAAAAATTACATATAAAATATTAACACCACACACCACATAATGTTTACTACAATTAATAAACTAATATAAACTTGTCAAAAGATGACCACATATTTTTTAAAATTATTATTCTTAACACTAAACTATTTACATTGACTATGGAGTGCGATTTCAGCCATAGTCAAGTGAGGCTGTTTTATTAGAGACGGCATTGCGTCAGCAGGGCCGCAAGTTGCTAACCTAATAAAATTAACACTAGAAAAGCCCACGGGAACTGTCAAATTCAAAGTTATTTGCTTCACAGACTATACCTAACATTACCCGTTTTTGAGAAAAAAAAATATTTAAAATTTATGGGCGAAAAAAAGTACCTGTCAAAAAAATTTGTATAGCCTAAAAGTCAAATTTAAGGATTACCACTGTGACATAAAGAGAAGACATGTGGCTATTTATTTTAAAAATTAAATTGTTCAAATGTAATGTCATAAAATTAATAAGATTGAAGAAGGATTGATTTGGAGTGAAACCATAAGAGGATACAAAGAAGAAGAAATTACGCTGTTATTTTTAAGTAAAAAAATGCAAGTATACTTACTTGAACCATGTTTCGTAGGACGCATTTTTGTCGTCCATTTTGAGCACGCATTTGTTTCTGAGCTCGCCCTTGTAAACTTGAAGGGCGAACAGTGCAAAAACCATCAAACAAAAGATGGTGAGTGTCATGACTTCCGCCAATTGCTTAAAGGAGTGTAGTAGCGCGTTGATGATGGTCTTCAGACCTAAAACGAAAATCAATTCTCAACTTAGGCCTTGTTACGAGTAATTAGATCATCATTAACACAGTACAGATTGTATGGGAGGGAGGAATTGTGTCCCCCTTTTTGTGTTTTTGGATACTTACCGGGCAATATGGATATGGTTTTCAAGGCACGCAGCACCCTGAACGTACGCAGCCCCGCTAAGTTGGCCCCCTCCACGCCAATGGTTGCGTAGCCGCTGGTGATGACGACAAAGTCGAGCCAGTTCCACGGGTTGCGCAGGTACGTGTACTTGTTCAGGATGAAACCTTTCGCTATCGTTTTGATAATCATTTCGAGGGTATAGATTCCTAAAAAAATATACCTGAAACAAGGAAAAAGACAGTGTAGTACGGGTTGGAGAAAAGACAGCAGTAAAAATCGACCAAAATATCGCAATTTCTCAAGTATCTAATTGTCAAATGTGGATAAAACAATGAAAACTGTCAATGTTAGGTGAATTTCCTTTGAATAAGAAGACTAAGGAAGGAGCATAATGCTATCCATGTATTCATGCATGGTGGGCGGAAAAAAGACTCTAGGGTGGGGATCCTTGACAGTTCTGTTTGACGATTCATTTGACACATTTGAATTTGATTTGAAATTTTGTGGATTTGTCAGTCTTTACGGAGCTTATTTTATGTTATTTATTATTTATTCTACTACTGATAGTTGTATAAAGGTAGTAAATCTAGATGGAACTTGTGGCAGAACTTAAATTAACAGTGACACTATCGCGATTTATCGAAAAAGACTCTAAAATAGTTGGTTGTGTAGCGTGCGGTAGATCTCGGCAAAAATCGAGTGAAATAATTGAACAACTTTTCGCTAGTAAGTGACTATATAATATATATACGTGTAGTAAACCGATCATTTATGAAATTCACTTAAATTAACTAATTATATATTTTTTCTTGCATTTTTGCTTTTATTTACTACTTGTCAAAGATTAGATGTCAAAGAATTTAGATAAGTCAATTTGATTTACCAGATTTACCTGCTTCAGTAGCGTATCGGATGTTTGTTTTAATAAATAATTATTATAACTTATCTATTTTTATTAGAATTATATATTTTTGTAACAATTTTAATAACTACCAACATTTATTCACAACGTCAAATAAAACAACATATTATTGTCTACCCCACGTCTACCCTACATCATAGTTTTACATTTTTTAAATAAAATTAGAACGGCACTGATAAACCGGAATTTAAGTCGGCCATATTTGAGGCCTTTCGCGGTGGACCTAAGATTTTTGATATGCTCCTTCCTTAGTCTTCTTATTCAAAGTGAATTTCATAACCTATTGTTGAATTATCGATTATTTTACGAGGGAAATTATGAAGAGGCTTCTCAGCATTTTCGATGTTTTGAACAATATTTATAGCTGTCAAGTCGTAAATTATCAATTACTTATTGAGGAAATTATAGAAGAAGTAGTTTTCACTAAAAAGCAAGAGAACGCACAAAATCACAAATTTTTCTATTTTTACTGACAGGTCGATAAGCAAGACGATCCTTTAAAGTAGCCGTTTTCGAATAGCTTAGCGCAATCAACAAGGACGCTAAGCGCGTCAGATTATAATACTTAGATCGGTAGTTAAGTGCGCGCTAAGCGAAAATTAAAGTCATATACGCTGAGCGTCCAAAAGCGCTGAGCGATTTCTAAGTTACAGAATTCGGATCCTGACGTCACGTCTGCCATGTTTATTCAAGTCTTAGTTCCAAAAACAGTTAGATTTGGATCTGTTTACTACAAGCCGAGTTTAAACTAATAGTATAATATATGCTTAAAATTTTTATCAACTGAAGGTAAGAACACTGGTGCTGGATAATTTAGTTTTTTCTATAGCAACTGTTAAAATTGCCTTATATCTATCAAAAATTGTAGATAAATAGTACTTTAACCGCAAGAGTAGTAGTAAAGTAGTAGTAGAAGTAGTAGTAAAGTAGTAGTAGAGTAGTAGTAAATGATACCTTAACAGTGAGGATAGATTAAAAGCTTTATTTCGCACGTTTTTTAATTGCTTCCATTTTTGAAAATTTTTGTATTTCTTCTCATAAGTTATTCGGAATTTAAATGGAAGTAGTTTGGATATCGCGTTTGTCGCCTCAGCCTGAATATCTGTTGGTAATTTACTTATTTCGTTTTCAGCCATTTCTGGATCCAAGAAACTCTTATATAATTTTATTATATACCTAAAAACTGCAAGAAATTTAATTTCCATTATATATTTTGGGCTAGCCGAAAAAAGCCTTTATTTACTATCGATAGTTGTGCCTCGGTGGTACGAAAGTACTACCATTGCACGCAGGCCACTATCTCGCGATGCGGGACTTAATATCTTACCGCTACTTTACGACAAGTCGTATTTATATATTCTGCGCTGTGCTCGTCGTTTTGTGGAAATACCCCAGCTCACCTGATGATGGGGTAGGGCCCCGAAACCGGTAGTGAGAGCAGGTTGATCCACATTATGACGAACACAGCGTGGAATTAATTTCTATATTAGCAGTCTTATATAAAAATAACTATTAGATTATTAGAATTAGAAAATAATACATTTATTTTATTTTTAGCTTTAGTATTATTATAAGTCAATAAAGTCGATAAGAGCGTTTACTTATTTTTTGCGACTTTATTTTACTTCTAATTTTTTATTGCTTTTTAATGGTAATATAAGTCTAATAGAAAATACTCTAATGTAATTTTCTATAAGAATTTTTTATCTGTCATTATCCAAAATACGCTTGATCATGAAACTTTTCGATCAAATTGTATATGTCAGCGTTAAAGAATGAACTAAGTCATTTCCTGAAATACCTAGTTGGTAATCTCTGTAAAACCGTCTAATACACTGATTTTTGTCAAAGCCCTGAGACTGTATGATGAGTTATAAACTCAAGAAAGGGAGACACAATAGATCTGTAAGGTTGAAATGATTAATCCCCCTCAGCGTAACTTTTCAATTGGTTATAATGTATTCATTACAGTAAACGACTGAAATCTGCAGTCAAACGATGTATCAGTTGAAGATTTCCACTGTTTGCCGGCAGTACGTGAAGTCACTAGGCATTTCAGGGAATGACAAGTTTCACTGTTTGACGTCGACATATACGTTTTTATTGCTACTTACTCTGCTTCTTCAATTGTTTCCGCCATGGCTAGGAAGACGCAGTTGAGCAAAATGGTAGCCATCACCAGGTAATCGAAGTACTGGTTTGTGCTTAGGTAAATGCAGACTTTTCGTATCGAATTGAAGGGGCTAAATATAAAAAACGAGCTGGTCGCCGTGAAGCGGTGGATGTAGTTCTTGCGAAAACGCTTCGACACCACGCAGAACGTCTGTAAAGAAAAAAACAACAATAAATCGAGGTGTAATTGGCCGATTGGTGGTGGATGGGCGGGGGGAGGACTGAATAATATCAAGGCCAGACCCAACGTCTTTCAACTGAATATAATGTCTCACACTTCCCTTCTCCTCAGTCCCCGCGATTATGATTGTGACTAGGGTTTTCGGAACCGGGAAAATCGGGTTCTATGTCATTGATCGTCATTTCCCAGCCGGTCTGGACGCCGGTTTTTTTTCGATCATACGGTAGTTTACTATGTGCAGCATGATCGTCATCAACATCATCATCATTCTCAAGTAGAGCATTTACAATTTCTTATTCAACCATTTCCGATTATGGTGTAGTGTAACTCACATATTTAGTCAGTCACTTAGGAACCGAGATTTCCCGTTTTTTTTCGGTACTTTCGGTACTAACTAATTTTTGCTCATTGCTCGTGCATCAATCCGAGAGCTAGGGATAACCTTCCAAAGAAAAATTGATAAAAAAATCAGATTTTTAATAAAAATAATATCAAATTAGTAAGTAATCATGAGAAAATTAAGATGAACACAGGCAAAGAAAAAAATATAGGTTACATAAAATTCACATGAAACACTATAAACCAACTAAATTACAGAAAAAAAAAACTTAAAATATTGAATTAAAAATCCAAATATCTATTAAAAAAAATAACATAAAATATAACTAATACATTAAACAACATTATAGTACTAAATAATAAAATAACTTATTTAAACTTAACAATAATAATTAAAACATATCTTAATAAACATTATTATTAGGAACTTCAAATTGCTTCGCTAGAAAGTAGCAAAGGACTTTCTCACGTAACAAAAAATATTTTTTTTAATTATCGTTAACGAGTTCTGAACTGGGAATTAATTTCGACGCCTAGTTCTATGATGGCCAAAAAAATCCGGTAATTCTCGCTGCTTTCATAACCGAGATTTGAACCGGTCCTGGGCCTTAATTGGGAGTATTAATTAGGGTTTCCTGAACCGGAGTTTTTCAGAAGAGGGAATTTCGGTACCATGCCTCTAAGGAACCGGGAATTCCCAGTTTTGTCGGTACTTTTGGTACTAGCAAATTTTTGTTGAACGATTGTGCAGTTAGTCAATCAGCAAGCAAGGGATGGTTTTCACAAATAAAATCGATAAAAAATGAGTTTTAAATGAAAATAATATCAAATTATTAATTATTCAATCATGGCAAAATTAACATAAACACAAACATGAACACAAATGAACATAAGTGAAGTAAACATATCCTGTAAACAAACTTAACCATAAAAAGTGTTTTCCAATATTCACTTTCTAGAATATCATAATTCTAATTAAATACTTCATTTTTCTATATTACTTTTATAAATTTAATGTAGAATCAATGGAACAAAATTATTTTTTTTTAAATTTAAAGTGTTCCACAAAAGAACTATACAGGGTGTTTAAAAAACATGTTGCTAACAAGAGAAAAAAAGTCAGTGGCGGACATATTTTTCTTATAAAAATAATCCAGTTGGTTAGGTTGTCTACATTTTTTTAGCATTAAAATATGTCGCACTTATAGTAACTTTTAGACTCAAAATTTCATTCATATCGCTAAAAGCACTTTGATGGAACTTATAACAATTCGAAAAAAAATGAAGATTTTAACCCCTAACTATTGAATATGAAAAATAAATCTTATTTTTACGTGAGGTGGCCCCACGAGAGATGGCACATGTTTTTTAAAACACCTTGTATAAATACAGTATTATGTATCTTGCTTTACGTACGTCAAAATGCTGTATGTGATAATTCAACCTAAGAATGCAACCACAGTTGTAATGTAAATATAAGTTGTATATTAATTGTGTCCTGCTTTAACTGTCTAATATCTCATTTGCTTCTCTACAGCTCTCATCTTTACCTCTCAAGGCTGGAATTGCGTAGTCCAAACTCCAAACCTTGAGGAAAAACTGAACGTGTGTGATTACTTTAAGAAAGATATAAAACTTCTAATTTGATAAAAAATGCCGTTGAATATACATAATCAAACTACTAGAATCAAACATAATCAAACTTCTGGAATTTAATAAGTTTTTTCCTAATAAGAATTTTTGTATATTTTAGCAATATACATAAAACGTTTAAAGTGCCGCATACTAAACAATATAAAACCAACCCCTATATTGAAGGCCTAATCTTACCCTGAAGCTTGATTTCGAGCGAAAGTTTTAAAGTTTTCTGATTCTGGCCAAATTAAACCGAACCCTAAACTTTTATGTCCAATAAAACTTATCTCACGTTATGCCGTGCCGCTAATTATAGGCTTTGTTTTGCTAAATTTTGGAGCAAAAAGTATAGCCCTCGCTGAACGTTTTATAGATTTCTTTAATGCGCTATTTCAGTTTATAATGTGTTAAGTTTTAAAAAGATCATTTTTTTAAATTATTTATTTTTAAATTATAAAATATTGGATTTATATTTTTCTTTTATTAGATTTCTAGTTGACGATATTTAAATATACACACATGGCCAAAATTATTGCATATATCGTTTAAAAATATACGGAAAGAAATTTAAAGAATCTTTTTTTATACATAGCTTTGAGAATCTGTAATAAACATTTTTTTGTTAAAATGGATATGGTAAACAATGTTTATCGTTTAGACCCAATATTATTACAAATTCTTGCACATTTCGATTTGTGGTCTCTTGGGTTTCAGAAGAAATTTGAGAATTGTTTTGGCCTTAAAATGCCTAGAACCATTATTTCACAGTTTAATAGAGTCAGAATAGTAACACTGTCTCAACATGGCTACCGGCAAGTTGCAATAGTTAAAATTCTAGGAGTTAACCAAAGCGATGTTTCGCGAATATTAAAAAAATCAGGGAGACAAACGAAGTTACAGACCGGCCAGGAAGAGGTAGAAAGAGAGTTACTACCGCTGTGCAAGACCGTCAAATATCCCTAATTGCACGACGCAATCCTCTGCTTTCCAGTACTGCTATTAAAAATGAGTTAGCTCGCCTTGAAGGAGAAAATGTTTCAAGAAAGACCATAGCAAGAAGACTCCATGACAGGATTACATTTAAGGAAGCCGCTACGTGTTCCGAAGCTTAATTTACAGCACAAAATTACGCGACTACAATGGGTTAAGGAAATCAGAGCAAATGGACCTAATTGGAATTTCTTCATGTTTAGTGATGAAACAAGAATAGGCCTAGTGTCAGACTCCCGACTCTTTTCCGGTTCCTCAATATATTTGAAACTAGTCCACCTGCATGATAAACTACCATCCGTGGCACTTGCCTGTGACAAAACTGGAGTTTCAAATCACGCTGCCGCTATAATCGCAAATGCTGTTTTAGAGGATATTGGAGTAGTGCCTAAAAGCAGTTCTACACAGATAGTAGATAGAATGAAGATCAGGAGAATGTCAGAATGTCTCAACGTAACGTTTGTACTAGTGTATTAGGTCAAATGTCGTTATTAGGCGTGCTTTTTGATGGTCGAAAGGACTTTACTATTATTTACAATAAGAACAAAAGGAAGAGAAAACGTGTTATGGAAGAACATATTTCTATTCTAAGTGAACCCGGTTTCCAAGTATTTGGGCCATGTCACACCGGAAAGCGGATCTGCATGTCATATAAAACGGTCTTTAGTTAATTTCTCGAAAGAAAAGTTTGACTTGACCGAACTTTCCGATTTAGTAGCAGTTGGGACAGATGGAACTGTTGTGAATACGGGAGTGAATAACGGCGTTGTTCGTTTGTTGGAAAAAGAATTAAAACGTCCCTTACAATGGTTAATTTGTTTATTCCATTTAAATGAACTTCCTTTACGACATTTAGTAAAAGAACTAGATGGTGAAACTTCGGGTCCAGGTGGACTCAAAGGTGTTATTGAACAGAAACTAGATAACTGTGAAACCCTAGCTGTTGTAAAATTCCGAAGAATTGAAACTGTCTAATAACACAGAATTGAAACTGTCTAATAAAACACGTCTAATAACGACATTTCACCTAATACACTAGTACAAACGTTACATTGAGACATTCTGGCCCTCCTGATCTTCATTCTATCTACTATCTGTGTAGAACTGCTTTAGACACTACTCCAATATCCTCTAAAACAGCATTTGCGATTATAGCGGCAGCGTGATCTGAAACTCCAGTTTTGTCACAGGCAAGTGCCACGGATGGTAGTTTATCATGCAGGTGGACAAGTTTCAAATATATTGAGGAACCGGAAAACAATAATTTAAGTGATTTAGTTTGGATAACATTATTGGGTTATATTTTATAGTCATGTTAAGCAGTGTGTTAAAAGCAAAAGATAAATAATTATCAAATATGTTGACGGGCAAAAAAAAACAAATATTTTTCAAAATATCTCAGCTTTTAAGGCCCGTGAGAAACCTGAAATATAAAGGCAGGGCAATCAGCTTTTGAGAAAACAAATTACTTATCTAAAGGCACATTTTGAGGCTTGTGTGAAAATATTTTGAAAAAAAAAATGTTTTCGTTCCACCCTAATGGGCAGGTATAATGCACGGAGCTCGAACTCCTCTTGTTTTTATTAATGGCACAGTGATAGGTGCCTCATACCTTAGAGACGTTTTAGAACCTATTGTGCGTCCATTTCGAGGGGCAATGGGGGATGAATTTGTTTACATGGACGATAATGCTCCTCCCCATCGCATTTTAGCGGTTCGCGAATTTTGCGAGGAAGAGGGTATAAGAAAACTGAGGTGGCCACCGATGTCTCCAGATATGAATGTGATCGAGCATGCTTGGGACATGCTAAAACGTCATATTACCAAAAGGCCCCCCTGTACCTTAAATGAATTGAAAATTGCTGCGCGCGACACATGAGAAGCCATTCCTTAACATCTTCTGGACAAGCTTCTTCTCACAGCTTGCATTGAGGCTCGAGGAGGCAATACAGACTATTAATTGAGAAATAATTAAAATTGTTTTCAATATTTTCTGTTTAAAATGA